CCTTCAAATGGACCATTGCTTAAGAATTCTCATAAAATGAATATAGAAAATATTTCATTCTTTTTCTTCAGGGTTCACACTTCTCAGGAGGTAGCCAGTATGGTGGACAGGTGAGAATCTCTTACTGTGTATCTTTATCTAAAAGATATTTTTTACATAAAACCTTAGTACTTTTATATTGACTGCAAAAAGTAACATTTCTCTAATAGCTGTACCATGGCCTAAAGGTATAGGAGGTGAAGCAGTACAAAACAATAGTCAATACCTCTTTYGTATCATGGTACATACAGTTATGTCTTTGTTTTCCCCTTTGTACAGCTAAACCTGGGCCCATTTTTACTTCTGCTATTGTCACAGTCTCTTAACTCTTGACAGTAAGCTCTCCTCTTTGGTAGAGAACTAATTGATATCTCTCTTTCAGGGTCCATATTTCTCAGGTGGCACCCCTTACGGAGGACAAGTGAGAATTGTTTTTTCATTTATGTGGTTTACTTCTGTGGTTCACCTCTCTCCCTTTCCTATTTTATGCTAAATATGTAAATAGGGATAAAGTGGTTAYTTAAAGTCAGAATAGATGAATATAAGACTATTGTGTCAGAGCACAAGCAAAAGTAAAACATAYGCACCTGCTGTGAGCACTGAGACCAAAGCAACTGCATTCACAAGTATTCACACCTGCTTGAAGCTGTCTGTGATTTAAACTTTACTATTCTATATAAACTATAGCCACTTTAAAGGCCATTAGATTTTAAAATGCTGGCAAATGAAGCATTCACAGTCATGTGGCATTTAAATCCATGGAACCAAGAAAAGTGTGTTTTCCAGCAATTAAAATAAATGCTTTTTCATTTCTTAGGGTATAGCTTCTATGGGAAGCAACCAGTATAGTGGACAGGTAAAATCTTTCCCTTCATAGTATATGCAACTTTAGTACACAGTACTGTAAGCAAACTGACTCTTCTGTATTTTTTGAAAAGAATATTCTGTGAAAAAAGGGTTTAAAGCACAAGTGCATGAAAGTCTGTAAATATGCATCAGTGTGGTGTGTCAGATCATGCTATGTCAGTGCTACAGTGGCCTGTGGTGAAAATTCTTAAACTGGTCCTTGGTTCAAGAAGCACAATTTAGAGTTTATGTTAGAAGCAAGTTAAAATATCAAGGACACCATAGAAAAARGGAAAATATTACTCAGTAACACAGAAATAAATGGTTTTCAATTTTTTTATAGGGCTTTTCTTCAGGAGGCAGCCAATCTGGTGGACAGGTATGCTTTTCTTTTCCACAGCATTCAGTTGCTGCAAATCTCAGTCACTCACTRTTTACCTTGAGTATTTTTCCTTCACAAAAACTGTTCACAAACCTGTTGGCCACCTTTCAGCTAGTTACCTCAGAGTAGAAATCACCTAGTAGTCCTCCACTGGGAGTCATCTTTAGTGTTTTCCACAACATCTAGAAATTGTTGGAATGTTGCATGTAACCCAGGTGCTCTGGCTCCCTGAAAAAGCAAAAAGAAAAAAACAAATGTGTTATATAGTACTACTCAGAACTTTTTACATTATTTATGTGTGTAGTACTCTTATTATAAGTTGAAGTGAATAATTAGATTATATTTAAATGTTRGATCACTAATTACACACCTATCCTGGAAGGAGGATGAAGGGAAAACTATTCTCTAGATGAAATTTGAGTGTATTAGCAAGATTTTATGGTCTGTTTCCTTGCAACATCAGGGTTTGAGTTTGATTTGCTAATTCAAACATCTTTTCTAGTCATGCACTCTCTAGAAAATTAGTTTGGTTTTGTGTTATACAGGGTGGATGTCTCTGTCCTGGTGGAAGTCCAGTAAGTATTCATTGCCTACTGTTTATTTTTCAAAGTATGTGTAACTGGAAAATTATCAAGCAAGTACACTGCATTAATTCCTTCTGTGCAACTATATACATAATAAAAGTTGTTTCATATTGTACTGAAATGGGAAATTTTGAGCCTAATTTGCTTTTAAGAAGGGTTCAGTTAACTGTCGTCTCAGGATAGCCATAATTGCCTGGGTGACTTCTCTAAGATTATGCGATCAAGCAAAAAATGCATGCCATTAATATAGCACTGAGCATCATAGGTGCTGGAAACAACACATAAAGTATTAGCTAAGCTATCTTTCCAGTAGAAACKAAGTCCTTTAGTTGTTCAGTCTACCAAATATAAAAGTATATCAGTAATCAATGCAAATTGTCTAATCAGTGCAGTAAATTAAGACGTTCTCTTTATGTTTGTCCTCTACATATGTCTGAATTTTATAAAAAGTAGCTATTCCTATTTCTGTTTAATACAGGGCTCTTCTGGAGGAAGTAGCTACTATGGTGGTCAGGTGAGCAATATTTCTTCAACATTTCTCATTCAGACTCAGATTAGTTTCTCTGGGATGAACTTGGCTTGGYTGTCGTAACCACACAAAAACAATTAAATATTGAGTTTAGATGGTCACAATTATCTATATGGAGTGGTTTGTTTTTTAGTGAATCAGTCTCTTCACATTTCAGTCATCTTTTAATAAAAATACCTGTTGAAATCACTAGACACAAAGTCTAGTGAAATCACTAGACACAAGATTTTACTTTGTATTTTTGCAAATGCACTTAACTGAAATAAAATATAAGAAAAGTTTGCAGGATTCATCTTATTGCATAAACTACTGATGTGGTCTTCTAATAAGTAGCCATTTTCTTTTGCATTGCTAACTAAGAGTCCTCCTCTGAGAAAGTCTGACTGATTGTCATGAATGCTCTTCAGATTAGGTCCATTTTTTGGGTGCTAGTGATTTACAAAAGTTATAGTTTCACATTCTTTTTACAGGGTTCACCTTTTTCTGGAAGCAGTCAGTATGGTGGACAGGTAAGCAACACTTCATTTTTAAGCTCTTCTTCGTACATGCAATTTATTAAATGAAAAATAYGATGGAGTGAGTTTACTAACAATACGTTTTTTCAAAGAGTCATTTTAGTTCCAAACGGTCAGTATTTCTGTGTAACTGAAATGGAACAGCGTCAACAGATTTCATTTAAGGAAACTGCATAGATCACACTTTCAGTTGTTATACTTAAGTGCCTCAGCTCAAGTGATAATTTAATCAGCTATTTTTGTATTTCAGTTTCACATGATGTCAATATTAGTTCAAATCTTCTTTTCCGTGTAATTTTTCAATTAAAATTATTCCATAAATAGAAAGGCTTGTCTATGTCAGTTTAGATTATATTGTTGGAAGCTTGGTGTAAAAYAAATGGATATTATTTTGAAAGTAGGAATTTTGGTGTTTTACCCACAGTAATACTGCTTTTCTCATCTTCTGCTACAATAACAATCTTTTAATGTAATYACCTCCCTACGTACCCTTTCTAAGGACATCTTCTTTCGTATACTTAGTGGTTTGTAACTGATAGCAATACCTAACTAGCCCAGACAGCTAAAATACRTAGTTGATAGCTGTTCAATAAAGGAGAGCCAGGGGGGATTATCCTTTTCATTAGTATTATTCTTTTTAATGTTTCATTCTGCTGTACTGAAAAAAAAAAACTTTTTTTTTAATCATAGGCAAATATATGACCATTAAGCAGAGTATATCTTATGTCATGGAGAAAGGAAGGATCTAAATAATTCAGTTTTTATATGCTTCAAAACAAATAACATGCTTCCCAAAAGAATATATGGAATAATGAACAAAAAAATACACAAGTTACACTCAAAATGCMTGTTTCAGCTAGCAGAAAATAACAAATAAAATAGAGATTTTGTTTTTGTCTCCAATAGAGCCACAAGACTTAAAAAAGACATTTTATATGCATATATTTATGTGTGAAAATGAACTTASGTGCTTTGCATCTGTTGGCCAAACAAATATGTCTTACATGTCTTACGGTTAAGTAATAGGTGTTTGATTTTCTTCCTGCAGGGCTCATCTTACGGAGGCCGACCACATGGTAAACCAGTAAGTAAAAACTTTCCATACTGATCTTTTTTTTYYYYTTTTTTTCCTCTTGGAAACCTGAAGAAAAATCATATCCCATTAGTTATGGGCCGCATAGTTTCTATCAAGCATGTTACTTAGGATAAGTGTATAAAAGTATTAAATGATTTATTCATTGAGGATAATCTCAGCAAATGKGAACACGATATTTATTCTCACTCAGTAGCATAGTTTTGAGCCAGTATTTTACTTGGTAACTGTATTTCCCAACATTCTCTGATTAGTTCTAGTAATCATGGAAGAAAATATAGGATCTTTAATTTTCATAAGTGATTTTTGCTGAATAGTTACTTCTGTTTTAATCCATAGTAATCTCATACTTTGTATTCAGGTTTCACTTTCTAACTATTTTAAATGCATCTTATCYACCTGTTGATTAAGGAGCTAGTAAAAATTATTATATTGTCATATACTTGAATAGTAATAGTGAGACTGTTGGCATTTCTTAAACAGCCGTTGCTTGCAAAGATTTTCTATAGGCAATACTATTCAAATAGGAAGAGCATTTTTTTTAAAGATTCTTGTAGCATATTTGATTTTTCAGTATCCACTTTTATTTCTCAATAACTTTCTGTTAAAACTTTCTTCAAGTAAGACTGTATTGTAACACCTATTTTTTCAGAGCTAGCTGTAGACTGATTCCAAGCAAATTAATATTTAACTGGAGTTTGTTATGTTTTCCTTTCTATATCATAAAGATATTACTACAAAAGAGTTCTTTTTCTTGAGGACTTTTAATTAGATTCYCCTTGGCTAATACATATCATTCAAAAGAATATCTGTTAACCGAAATATGTTAAATATTCTTATCTCCAGATAAGTTTTTCCCCAGGATTTTGAAGTGACTAGACACAAAACAATGTTCCTTCTCTTGTGGTCCTTTATTTGAGGCAAGAAGAACATACTTAAGTACAAATAGGTTTAGAGTCAAAGAAGGATATTAATTTTTTTTTCAGGGTTCATCTTCCTCGGGAGGCAGAAATCAAGGAAAACCAGTAAGGGTATTCCTCAAAATATTTTCCTTTGAGTATTCCACAATCACACTGGAAACATGAATATTATTATTTCAAATAAGGAACAGTAACAAGGACAGGATTTTAAATTACAGGCCAATATATTGAAATGGAATATTGTCTTCAAGCCTTAACGTGAGGATGAGGCAGTGTTCATTACTCCTAATAACAAAGTTGTGAGATACTCCATTGCTTAGTCATTAATGTTCATTTTATTGAGGATGATGGGATAAGTGATCAGGAGCTGTTCCAGTTTCAAACTTTACAGTTCAGTTAGAAGGATATTTTGTCTTGAAAATTCTCAGACACTATTAATGGAGTAAAGAGAACACAGCTGAACTTATTTGAGACCATTCACTTAGATGGGGGGAAAAAAGAGCAAGAAGTTAAATGGAAAGTCGGTATGAGAACTATCAATATTCAGGGTGCATTCAAGAGTACTATGTTGTCATCAACTGTTATTCATTACTCCTACAAAAAAGAAAAATGGTTTTAAATTATTTTACAGGGTTCTTCTACTTCTGGACCCACGTATTCTGGTAAACAGGTAAGAAAACTTTCATCACTGTTTGTTATCTTTCTTAGCAAACAAGGAACTTGGATGGCCAGTAGAGCAATTTATGGGTGATTGTGTCTGAAGAGACCATTGTGTATTCATTCGTTTTGTATTGGAGCATATTTAAAGCAGCAGGTGTGGAAAATGTGGCCTCAGTCAGTCTGGAGAAAGTTTCAATATTTTCTCCTCCTACTATACAAAGAAAAGCCATAATTTTAAGCCTAAATCTCTTACAGGCCTTGCTACATTTTTCTCTCCTCTATTTTCAAATTCCTGTTTCCTGTGTAGATTTGCATAGGCTCTGTTTATTTAATCCTTCACCTCTTTGATAAGCTAGTTTCTTGTGTCTTTGGCTAGCAAGTGGTTTTATCCTCTTTTGCTTGTTTATTTTCAGTACTTCTCATTTTTTAATCTCATCTTCCAGCTATAGTTATGAAATATGATAATAGAATGAGAGGAAAATATAGACTTTTGCCCGTACACAAATTTTAGCTGATTTTTTCAGATGTAAGATGGAATAAACAATGTAGAACCACAACTTTGTACGTCATCTGTGCCAAAGTTGTTAAACACCCTAAAACCACTCTCTTGGTTAGGCTATTAACATTGTGCTGATTGTAGACAAAACTGTATGTTCAAAACCATGTGTGGGAGCACTTCTAGGCTTATTTTTTTCTTTATTTGCAGAATCCATCTTCCACGGGGGGCAGCCAAGTGGTAAGTACTTTTTCCTCATTGTTGTTTCTACTAGTTTCTTCCTAAGCAAAATATAGAAAACTCAAAGTACTAAGTAGGCAGTGAGATATCTGTCTAAATACATGTATCTGAATAAATATTTGAGAATACCTGTATAATATAATAAACAGGAATAGGTTGAGCCAAAAATGAGGAAAAGTAGGACCACATAAGTGTTTTATAGTATGGATCCTGCCTATGATTTGAACACYTGTTGGTTATGCATGCATACAGTGTGGAACATGGTCTTTTAATAAAATATCTACATAATAAAGCTAACAAGACTTCCCTGAAACTGTACATGCCTAATAATAGTAATGAATGGRATTATTTTGAATCAAAACTTGTTCTCTTATAGAGCTCTGCTGGCAAACCCTCCAGTCCTGGATTCCTGCTGCTATTGAGTGCTTTGAGTGCCTTTGCAGCCTCTGCTGCTGTATCAAAGTGGTCTGTATGAACTTCTGAAGATGTGTTTGGCATCCTAGACGTTGGTTTTACTCTATAATATTAGATTAATTACTTGATGTAAGAAAAGTCAAATTGGCATACATTATTTGGCTGTTAAGTTGTATGTCTTACTAATATGCCATTAGTTTACCTTTAGTTTTAGTAATTAATAAGTGTCATTAGTTTTATCAGTTTTAGATATCATTTAAAAAAAACATATTGTGCCCTATCGATATAATTTTGTTATTTTTTTAAAATTCTAACTAGAAATGTGATGCATACCTAACTGAAACTTGATTTGTTGCCTAGAAAATATTTCGTTATTAACAGAAAAGGGGCATGATGAGCGATCAAATTGCGTATATGCAAACTGAGCACTGACACTTGTCATCATCACATAAAATGAAGCTAATTGTAATTTATAGTAAGCAAGCCTGTGCAGAGCAGCACAGAAGGCAGTGTGGTCCAGATTAGACTGGTAGCCTATGAAGTGCTGGAAAACAACATTTCTAATGGGAATAAATGGAAATTTGATTAAGTTGATAAAACTGACAGAATCCTGGGATTGGGCTCCTTTTCCTCAAGTATTTTGTCTGCAAGTTTAATTTCAAGATGATGCTGAAATCATAGAATGGGGCACAGAAATTCACTGTCACTCTTTGGGTTCAAAACCAGTTCCCTGCTTTGCAGCAGATTCTTTTGGAGCTGGTGGAGTGATCTTCTCTTTGCCTGGTGACCTGCACACGGGCGGGTAGTTAATAGTGGTGCCTTCACTGTAGTCCTGATAATACCTTTTATCTACTATTACCCTTAGAACAGCACTGTAATGGTTTAACTGTGTGGTAGGCTAGTGTGTGATGTTAACAAAGTGCATTCTTCAAAAACATACTTGTAATTGATGTTTTACAGAACATGTACCTAGTATTAAAGTTACATTTGTTACTAATATGCTTATTATGTCTCATAATGTTTACAGTTATAATTAGTGGGATATACTTCCCATCAAATTACACTATAGTTTTCATTGGGGCCAGGATTTCCTCGGTTTGCTCTGTGCACCACAGGCCCCACCAGTATCAAAAATACTCTGTTGATCCACCCAAATGGCTGAAGCTGAATTCCAGACCTCAGGGCAGTCCTGCCCAAAGAAAATTTTTAAATCTTGGGGGACCGTTGGCTCCTTAGCGTACTAACTTACTTTGGGAGAGCTCTGTATCTTGCCTGGGCCTCACATTGCACTTCTTTAATAAAGGTATCGTGGATTTCATGCACAACGTTGATGTGTTTTCACTGTACAACTACTGCGTGTACAAAGATGAGGTTTAATGAATGATATGATTTTACTTCACAAGGGAGGGGAGCAGGTGGGGGGGAGGGGGCAGCTGGCGCGGCGGCGTGTGGCACGCGCCCTAACGGCTGTAACGGCCATAACGGTCTCTGGGGCGGGAGGTCGCCGCTGCCACAGGCCGGGCGAGGAGCGGTGCGAGGGGGRCAACCCTGCGCTTGGAAAAGGCGTTTGGATCCCCCTGCCGCTCCGGCTCCCGTGCCTGGACTGGCCCCACGGCCCCTTTCCCTACGCAGGGAGCCATCCCGCAGCTCCCTGCGCGTCCCCGCGCYCCAGGGCGCGGCCGCGGCCCCGCTGCTCCCGCGCGCCCGTCCCGCGCCCCGGGCGGCGGTTCGGGGCCCGCGGGCGGGCACGCTGCGCGCCGCGGCCCTGGGAACGGAGCGGGCGGGGCCACGGCTGCAGCCGGAGCTTTTGCGGGACGGCACCGCGGCAGCCGGAAACACCGGGCGGCTGAGGCGAGGCGGGCGAAGCGGCAGCGAGGGGCGAGCTGGGCCGYGGCCCGCGCCCTGCAGGTGGGAGACCCGCGCTGGGGCCGCCCGGGACGGGAAAGGCCCTGGGGCCGGTAGGGAGAGATGTCCGCCCAGGGCGAGGGGGCGGCGTGGGGGCTGCTGCCTGGTGTGGAGAAGGGATAAAGATCCGGTTAACGGCAGCGTCGCCGTTGCCAACAGCCGCGGCTCGCCCCCCAGGCGCCTCTGCGGGCTGATGCTAGCCCAGCCTTGCTGGGAAGGCTCTTGCTGCGCTTGCCACAGAACCCTGTGTGAAATTACCAGAAATTACCCCCAGAGGTGCCCCTGTGGCACCGTGGGTCTGTTCTTGGCTTTGCATGTTGAAAAAACACTAGTARTAGTGGTCAAAAGCTTGTGGGTTAGATCAGAACGCCAAAAAAGTGTAGAGGTAATGAGTAAAAGCATAAAATAATACCTACTATAGAATAATTAGGGAGGTAAAAGATAAATGGCACAAGATTCTTCAAAATTGTATCATGTTTTAGTAAATCCTGTAAACTATKTTGTGAATCAAAATGAAGAAGACTTGGAATCCAGAGAGAAGACTGAGGTTGTTTTCTGCAGTGACAGGGGTGTTTTATTTGAGACTTGGGCAGAACCTTTCCAAAGATGTACTGAGTGAGTGCAGGCTTATCTATCATGTCAGCCTCTATACAGGAGGGCTGGGATCTGAGAAAACTCCTGCTTTTCAAAGAACAAATCTGCAGGCAGGCAAAGCTGGGACTTAAATACTGATTTACATCTTGTAGACTTTTTCCCAAGCCTACAGAGCTGCCTCTGTCTATAAGCACTGCAGGTGACTGCTGTGAACATATGTGAACCCCATGAGCCTGACCTGTTCGGGCCTTCTCTACTGCATGGGACCTGTGCCACAAAAGCTGTGTCAGTACATACTCCAGCTCTGTGATAGAGGTCTGCCTTTATACAAAAATAAGAAACATCTTTTTCCTTTTTTTTTTTTTTTCAAGGCCATGGGGTGAGTTTGATGCAGATGGTAGCTGTGAAGAAACTAGTTTACCTTTTCCTTTGGAAAACTGTTGTTCGTGGTTATCTTGTATATTCTTAGACATGGTGAGAACCCACGATAAAAACTACAAATGTGACAGAGAAGGATCCATGGTTTAAGGAGATGGGATACTCTGGATGGTAGAGGTGCAATGTGTGCGAAGGTGTGGGCTTTGGAAAAGGTAGGGTGGTAGTGAGTAGGCAAACTTGCTTTATGAAGAGCAGCATATTGTTAAGACAGGTTCTGTATGCTTAACCATTAATCTCCCAGGGTGCCTTTGCAGCCTGCTTTGCTTAGGCTTCTGTTTGAAGTAGCTGGCACAAGGGTCTTAACCACGTAGCTATGGGAATCAAATCTCAGGTATCTACTTAAAAATAGTTCCAGATGCACATCCTTGATCTGTGGGACAGGCTTGCTAGATACAGTTATTCCTCTTTTAATGTTCTTGAGTTATTTGCAAGCTGGACTTATCATCTTATGTCAGCGGAGGGTATCTCTGAAGAGGATATCTCTGGGGAGGAGAGGGTATACCCTGGGGAGGGTATCTCTGAAGATCCAAAAGATCTCTATCTCCTAAGATCCAGATGAAAAATGAGTGTAAAATAGTTAGATTATTCCTCTTTGAAATTTGAATCTTTCTAGACTTAGACTCTGTCAGTAATTTAGATGTCTGCTTTTATTTGTAACTACTAGGTTTCTGCAGATAAATAAGTCTTCAGGCTTACTTATCTCCAATTATTTATCTCCACTGTGCTATCTAGTATGTGTGATTCTGCTTAAACTAGGTCACCATGATTGAGGATGGCTGCACTGCCTCTAGCATGCAGGCCTGATTAGTAATTCATAAATTCTGTTAGTGGGCACTGCAGCCGAACCACAGCTATATTTAATGCTCAGTCTTTCAGCACCAAGCTGCATCACTGGCTTGGTACATCTGCTGGAATTGCATTAGGGCAGTGCCTTGTTCTCTGCCCAGCCTGCTATTGTACTTGTGTATGCTTTYGGAGAGGTGGAAACTTGAACTGGAGCTGAGAACTGAATGACTTCTTGCTCCTRGACCCTTAACGTGGCTACTAGGATATTTCTGTGCTGTGTCTATACAATGAACACAGTGTATGTACTGTTTGAATAGAGAGAGGCAGTAAGGTAGGTTGTATCAAATTTCTGTGTTGGCGGGCGGAGTTTGGCTCAGTGACTGTTGTGTCAATATAAAACTATTGCACTACTGTGTGCATACAGGAAGTCTTCATCTGGTAAGAGGTACTGATGTGAGATTTAATTCAGTGTGAGCCCGAGTTGCCTAAACAYTGAGGTTTTATATTTGGTAGGTGACTCTTTAACACTCTTCAGACCAAACCAAATACTCATCAAAAAAATCCTATTTTGGGTTCTTACTTTATCCCTTATACCAAAATTAAAAAGAAAATAAATGGTCACAGGGAACTTTAAACATGTTTAAGATTCACAATTCCCAGCTTATCCTATGTATAGGTTAGAACCATCTTTGAAGAGACCACCTTTAAATACTGACATGAGTTAATACGCAGTTGGATTCCAGTTAGTAGACGTGGCAGTGTGTGAATTTCCTGATTGAATGGCACCATCAACATCAGCACCAGCAAATCAATGATAAAGCCACCACTGACCGTTTTGAAGTTGAGAAATCTTTGCTTGATCTTTGGTAGTTGCATGTAAATGTGTAACTGCTCTGTGTATAAATGCTAAAACATATCAGCATGATTTTGAAAAGGACTAGATAGGGTTGTGTTTAGGGCAGTAAAGAGCTGTGTTGAAACAAAGTTCATCCTTTTTTTTCTGCTTGGCTTGTTGGACTTGAAATCCTTGTTGTGGAAGTATTACTTCGTCTTTTGTAGTGATGCTCTTAGGCTTTCTCACCAGTTAGAAAAATTTTAAACTGGAAATTTTTGCCTTAACAAAACCTGCGCTTGAAAACAAAACTTTAATTGTTGAGCTTCTGCTAGAAGCAAAAGGAAGAACTTTGCTACAGGATTTACTTTTAATAACATTTCTCAAGAAGAACAGGAGCACTAAGAAAAAAACATAGCTATTTTTTACATACTCAGTACATTGTACGTTGGAAAGTATCCATTGAGGAAAATGAGTAACAGGCTGAAGAACAAAAGAAAGGGCAAGGTAAGTTTTAAAATGATAAAGTAACTTGCAGTGATTTAGGTGAAAATTAAATTGCTGTTTATTTGGGGAGGGAATTTTGACAATGATAGCCTGTGGGAAGGAATAGGGAAAAATCCTGTGTCAAATATAAGGCAAGCAAAACACATTAATAGAGACAGAGAAAAAGAAGAATTTTTGAGATTATTACAAATATTTGCAGCATTATTCCAGTTTATAAAGATTTTACATAGATATTAAAGAATATGTGTTTTAGTAGGAAGGAAGGATAAGGGAGATTCATTGCTCAGTGAGAGGCCCAAGTTCATCACTTAAAAGAATAGTATGTGTGTAAAATCTTGTTTGGAAACTAATTCAGCAGTAATTAACGAGATCCTGAAAGTTCTGTGCATTCTTATTAACCATCTGGGATAGTAATTCTCATACATAAACTATGTTATTGCATTAGATACTACTTTTAGGCATAAAGAAGACAATCCTGACTCCAGTAGTTTCTGAAAAGAAGATTCATGAGTTAGAACTTCTCTCTGAGAAATGTAGCTGTGTTGTGGTTGAAACACAAGTGGTATGATTTGTATGTACCCAGCATGGGGAAGAGCAGAGCCTTTGCCACGCTGCAGAAGGAGAAAGAGCTACACTGCTCTTTAAAATAAGCCCTCCAAGTTCAGTGAGCAAGCTCTTAGGGTACCTTTCTTGGCGAYTTTTCCTTGTTGCTGACCGCTTGAAGTATAACATCAGCAGTAGGCTCATACTTCTGTTGAGAAATATGAGAACATGATTCTGTTTCTTTAATCTGCAGTCTTGCTTTCAAGAATGCCCAGAATGTGTGTCTATACCTGTTCTACCGGAAGCAGACTTGATTTTTCACTTTTTTATTTTTCTTTGCATAAGGTGGACTCAATCAGTGTTTATTTTGTGGCATATCTCMAACATAGAACTTGATGTATTGGCACTTAGAACTTGATAAACTTTGTGGTTTTTTTTCCTCTTGTTTTTTAAGCACCTGATTGTCTAATTCTCTTCAGCTTTATATTTTAACTAATGTGCAAGTGCTTTTTGCTTGGTTAGGCATTTTATGCTCTTTAATAGTAAAATGAAATAGCAGTCAGCAGCAGCAACAAGACCTATAACTGAACATTTTGTTCTGAAGGACAAGCTCAAGTAATGACAGTGCTTTGAAGGTTAGTTTGCAGGCATAATAATAGGATTTTTTAAATTATTTGTTTAACTTTTTTTTTTGGGGGGGTAAGGAATAATTGAATAGTTGTCAGTAGAAGTTATTTTCATATTATTTTGTATTGCTTCCTTTATATGTCTATCCTGTGTCCTTATGCCATAAAACCTTTACCAAATTCCTTCCTTGTATACTTTTAAGGAGAACAATACTTTATGATAGTATCTGTGTTTTATCCACTGGTTACATGTAGTGTAAATACCATCTCTGCATGAAGCCAGATATTGACTTTCCATATAGGCCTGCCCTTAACCTCTTTCTCTGCCTCCCGTATTGCTGGTGCTTGCTGTTACTTCAGGGTGTGTCTGTGTGGTGTATGGGTAAATAGGCAGAAGCAGGGGATTCGAGTTTTGATTTTTCCCTTTAATTTGGGATAATAAGATGAGAGGGTAACAAATCTAGTAAAGTCACTGTATTATTGTGAACTCAGTTTTGAGTTTTTGAAATCACAAATACGGATGTGGACTTAGCACTGCATTAGTGGCAGAGATATATCCTGTGGAGAACTGAGTAGTCAGTCCAAAGGCCAGTGAGGAAATCTTAAGCCTGGGTGTTATCTTGTGTTACAAGAACTGTGACAGGAACATTCGTTTTCAGTGTTGATTTAAGACGATCAAAGTGTGGCTGTTCCTGAAGGTTACTTTGGTTAGCGAATGGCTGCACAGCCTTCTGCAAGGAACCTGCAGGAACTTGTCTTGAGAAGAACGATTACACCTCTGCAGGCTGTAATCTGTAAATCTAACCCTGCTGTGAAACAGCAGCTGATCACAGCTCAGCTACTGCAAGTTCTCCCCTTGGCTGGTTGGCTGGGTCCAGCTTGCTCCAGTCTGCACGGAGTTTTAAGAAGTGCTCTGCAGGCCTTTGGCAGGAAGGGGGGAGAGAAGGAAAGTTGCAGAGGTATTGTGTGTGTTTAGCAGAGGGTGGGTGTTTGCCTGAGATTTCCGGTCTGTGTAGTTCCTTCTTGATGAAGCAGCTAGTTCAAAATACTGCATGAAACGTGAGACACCTTTTCTCTACAAGCCTGTCTTGCTAGCCTCTGATAAGATAGCTTTTAATGAATGTCCTTATTTCAGCTATTAAACTTGACATTTGCAGTCTATTTAGTATGAATTTTGGAGTCGCTGAGTTTTCTTTAATGGATTCTGGTAAAGAAATGCAACACTCTTGAAGAAGTGCAGCATTCTGCTAGTGGCAGCTTTTTGAATCACATTGTGTGACCTATCACTTGATGAATAGGAGAAGATGGATTTGTTATTAATCAGGAAAAGCAAGATTAAATTGGTAGTGTTTCTGTGAAAAGGTGCCCTTTATTTTTTGAATCATGATTAGGATTGCTAATGAAGACACGACTGCCGTTCAAGATGGTGCTCTGGTATGTGTTCTTATAATTTTACTGTTTTTCTTTGTTTGTTTAAAGTGTTGTCTGTTGGTATTGATATTTGCTCATCCTAAGTAAGCTGCTTGTGATAAGTGGTTAAAATTCACTTTTAGCTGCTTAGGAAATAGATGCTTGTATTATATGAAAGTGATTTTCTGATATTGTGACTTATTTTGAAGGTTAAGGAATGATTCTCGTAAGAATTATGAAGATTTGTAAAAATTCTTGGTCACCATACAGGTTTACTGAATACAGAGATGTCAGAGCTCAGCAGAGATGTGCTGAATGCAGTATATTCAGAAACATTTTGAAAATTGAAAAAATCAGTTTTAAAATTGTGTTATTTGTGTGTCTTTATGAGATTCAGAATTGTAATTTGTGTAGCCATAGGATTTTTTCTTGATACCTTTAAAAAAAAAAAAAAGGTAAATGGGAAAGGTGAAAGGAATTGTTTGCGCAAGTTGGCTCTTACATTTGCAGTATTGTTCTTCTCCAGGAGCAGAAGCATGCTTTTTTTGATGTTCACTCCTGTCTTTTCTTTCTGGAGATTTTTTGCTCCCTTTTTCTCCCTGTCTTGTGTGTGTTGTTGGTGTTCCTCCGGGGGTATGATCTCTGACTTTGTCATCATCTGACTGTCCGTATCCTAAGGAAAGCCATTCTTTTCTTCTGTTTCTCCTCCTAGTTCTAAGTTATAGCAAATTAACCTTCAAAAACATTGCTGTTTCACAAACTGATCCTCTTCTCCATTTTGTTCTTGGGGATACACGATTCCCCAATTATCATCTCCATGCCATGAGTTATTCCACAAGACACTGTTCTTTGAGAAATGTTAGCCTTTTTTTTTTTTTTTTTGCATTCATATCTTTAAATTTCTGATTTATACCATCCTGTGCAATTCATTTGCTCCATGAATTGAATTATATTATTTCATACAAGAATGTTTTCTAAGGTTCTTTCAAAGAACCTTTGTGTGTTTCTGCATCCAGGCGTTTTTTTCTTATTTATCAATAGATTTTTTAAAAAGTTTTTGCAGCCTTAGAATTCTTGCTGTAAAAAAAATTATAGGATAGGACACAAATATATAGTTTATGTTTTTCTTTATATCTGTGATTCAAAGTCAGTTGCAGATTACCGCCACATCTCTTAAGTGTATGTATCATATAGGGATTCAGCTGTCTTCATCCACTTGACTGGAGAAAATCTATAAAAACTTAGAAATAATCTTTAAAATATGTATGTCGGTGCACTTTGTGAATATATAGTCCATTGACACATTCTCTGTCACATTCTTTTGAAGAACTTTTGCTATTTGTGAATTGTCATGTTATATATAACCATACTAATTTCATTTGTTAGTAACTTGTTTTGAAATAATAAATATTCACTGCTTTGTTATTTGTTTTGCTTTGTTGCCTGAGTTCCCTTTATAGCTTTTTTAATATGCTTATTCATAATGGAAATGTCTGTCTCACTTTTAAGTGTGTCTTTGGGTTTTTTGTTTTGTTTCAGGAAAGCCAAAGTCAAGAAATGTCTACCAATTTAAAATACCTTTCCTTGGGCATCCTGGTTTTTCAGACCACAAGTTTAGTCTTGACCATGCGTTACTCTCGGACGCTGAAAGAAGAAGGACCACGTTACTTATCATCCACCGCAGTAGTTATTGCTGAACTTCTGAAGATTTTGACCTGTATTTTATTGGTCTACAAAGACAGTAGTATGTGTCAAATTTTTCACCAAGTCATTTTCCTTTTTGATATTCTGTATCGTAGTGGCAACTACAAAACATACATTTGAGTACAGGAATCTCACAAAGTGTTTCCTTTTTGATTTAGGAAATAGTCTTGAGAAGACTAATCATGCTTCAGTTTTCAACACTTTATATAACATGTATAATTACTGACTTTTTAAGTGGATGTGGGTCCTCAGAAAGAATAAATTTAACAGCCTTGAAGCTGTTTGTTCAGGTATTTTATAAAACTCCTGAGTAGCAGTAGGAAAAGATGCACAGCGTTAGTGAGTCCAAAGCAAGAATGACAATATGAAAGCCTGCAATGAGCCAAGTCATGTGGATGTGCAAGGGAACAGCAATTTCATTAATAGTTTTGACTTCAGGAGAAGTTATTTTCTACTATATTTCTTATTTCTTACATTGTGCTGAATTTTCCAGTTTTGACATATATATCTAGTGTTCAGTGATTTAAAAATATAATTGTATATACTTAATTGTTGGTAATTCCATACATAATTAAATATGCATATTCAAATGAGACTGCAGATAATCTAAGTGGTTAAGTGTAAGAAAATCTGAAGTGAAGCAAAACTTCTGATCTTTGATGTATCTTCTCCAAATATAGGATGGTCATTAGTATGTTTTACTTGAGGTATTGTGAGTGATCATAGTTTTGGTATTCTAGGCTAGATTTTTTTTTTTTTTAATAGCCTTATGAAAGCAAAAGATAGTTTGGTGTTTTGATATTGCTGTGATGGCTGCAAAAAGTAGTCAACAATTTTAAAGAACAGAATACAGCTGTCTCTTTTTGGTAGGGAGGCAGGGAAGGGTTTTCATTCAGTGATTTTTCTGTTTCTTTTGGTAGAGTGCAATTTACGGACTCTAAACAGAGTGCTGCATGATGAAATTCTTAACAAGCCCATGGAAACTCTCAAACTTGCTATTCCATCAGGAATTTACACTCTTCAGAATAACTTGCTGTATATAGCATTGTCAAACCTAGATGCAGCCACATACCAGGTATTGTATATTTTGTTTTCTCTGCAGGTTTCAGACAAAAACATGAATTTTGTGATAATAACTGTTTTAAGGTTTTTGTTTTTTGTTTTTTAAGGTTACGTATCAACTGAAAATTCTTACCACAGCATTGTTTTCTGTGTTCATGTTAAGCAAGAAACTGGGTGTATACCAATGGCTTTCGTTAGTCATCTTGATGACAGGAGTGGCATTTGTGCAGGTAAATATTAACAGGTGTCTTGTATTTATTTAATATGTTTATTCAAGGAATGTGGATTTCTGTAATGATTATACAGCTTCCTGATCTGCCAGCTGCACACGAAAACCAGTATATGGCTGAATTACAAATCACACCTGGCCAGGGCTGTGGAATGGCAGATAGTGCTCACAGGCAACACCTCTTTGTGGTCCCAGTACTCTACTGGGAATGAGATGGCATCCAGAGCAACCTGACAATCACTGAGATAACACCATTTGCTAGCACACTACTGACGTCAGAGGTTTGGGTTTCCAGACCTTCTGTGCCAGCTCAGGACTGCTGATCATCTTGTGATGTATTTCAGCATGGCAAATTCATCTGAACCCGTTCAGGAGGTGAATTTGGCCTCTAAGGTACAGCAGCTTGTACATTGTGGAGGGCAGGATCATGAGAACAGAGAGTGTTCTAAGAATTTTTAAAGAAAAGTTTCTAGGATATGCTAAAAGTTAAATATTCTTCAGTTTGTAATTATTAAATTTAAAAAATGAAGTTTTAGGTACTGTCAGAAGTTTTAGTTCTGAACTTATCAGGCTTTTTGTGTGCATTTTTGGCCACAGCATTGCATTTTCCTCTGCAAGCTTTAGGTGTGTGGTGAGATTTTTGCTTCACAAAATTCACCTTGTTTTAGTTTTCTGTGTAATCACTGAAGAATTCAAATGACAGTTCATCCTGTCTTAATGAGCGTTTTTCTGAGTGTCTCTATTTCTGTAGAGAACATATAAGTCACTTTTAGATGGCAAAGGTTGATGCCTGTGTATCACTAGGCTAAAATTCATCCTGGAGGTGAAATACAGTGCCAGCTTATAAAATATGTTGAGTAAATTCCTGGGCTGTGTAAGTAAATGGGAATCCTCTCAGTTATAGCCCAATTTCACTCCCTACTAAAATACAGACAGAAAAATTGTGGCTTTGCATTTCTTTAAAAATATATATGATGCAAAATATAAAACTCTTACTAGCATATGTCTGTCTCCATTAATTGTTACTATTGCTAGAAAATAAACTTGCACTTAATAAATGCTCATGACTTAATCCTGTGAGTGAAGTTTATTTAACTGTTTTTGCATCTAGTGGCCTTCGGACTCTCAAGCAACAGCTGCTAAGGAACATTCAGCGGGATCTCAGTTTGTAGGCCTGATGGCAGTTCTTATAGCATGCTTTTCCAGTGGATTTGCTGGGGTTTATTTTGAGAAAATTTTAAAGGAAACTAAACAGTCAGTGTGGATCAGAAACATTCAGCTTGGTAAGTCTGAATTTAGTTATCTCTTAGAGCAATATTACATTTAGAAGAATAAAGATAAATGTGCAGAAAATATCATAAAAATGTCAAAGATCAGTGTTATTCGTAAATGAACTCTTAAAGCTTAGAGTAAGGATATTGTAAACTCTGCTAGCTGGAATTGTGAGAACTGCTTTTTGATCTCATCCTAGTTCTTGATTTAACTTGAACTTATTTATCTGACAATATTTTGGAAAATGCAGGAGCATTAAAATATGTTTCTAAATCAATACTTTGAGACATTTTAATATTTTTTTCCTCCCATAGACAGCTTTTATACACAGGCACTTTAATTAAAAACTAGGAAAATAAAGCTTTGCTTCATGTGCAAACAAAACTGAGAGAAAAATGTGTGATTATTTCAGTACAAAGGTGAGTGCTGTATTACTAGCCTTATCTACTGTGCACTTACTGATAAAGAAATATCCTCTACTTGTAGTTCTAGGTAATCATGGTGGCAGAACTGCTTCCTTTTATTGAATGGGCTTTTCCTCAGCTCAGACCAATTTGCCCAACGTCTGATGTTAGAAATTCGGTGAAAGTAGTATCTTTTGTGCTTCTTTCGCAAAAGAGATTGTTGGAGTGGATTCACTTGAGTGGATTCCCCTTAGTTTCCCCTGCATGCAAAAAATTACATATAAGATACATTTTTATAGTTAAATAAATGTTTTGGCAGAGTTTGATCCTTCTAACACCTTGATAGAGCCTCTTGATCAAACCCACAGAGCTGTGGAATTAAATCATGAAGATATTTTATTGGATCAGGGCTGAGTAATGAATGTAAGGAAGTACCTTAAAGCTTTGAAGCTTTTGAATCAATCAATCTGTCACTTTCAGGATTTTTTGGTGGCATATTTGGATTCATGGGTGTATATATTTATGATGGAGAACAACTATCAAAGCATGGATTTTTTCAAGGATATAATAAACTCACTTGGATAGTTGTTGTTCTACAGGTAAGATACCTAAAATCACACTTTTCTGTAAAGGCACGTGGAATTTATTCTTCAGTAAATGATGGAGAGTTAATGTTTGCCCATAAAACTACTAAAAATTCTATAGTCAAGTCTGGTCCATCCATACTAGCATAAGCCTCAAAATAAATAAAAATCTGGAAATCTGTCAACAAATATTATGATTAAGAGTTGTGTAAGATAAAAAGTGCACAATATTACCTCTTTTGAAATATTAGAAAAAAAAAAAGAAGAAAATATGCGTTTTTTCCTTCTGTGGCTAAAAATGCATACAAGTATTTTCCACTAATTTAATGTTGGAAATATAATCAGTATTTTATTTGTTGGCAAATGAAGAACTTTATTGCAAAAGTTACCTTCAAAGGTAACGCATGAAATAAATGTAATACTTCTAGATATGGACAAGAAAGCCTTCTCTAAGTGCATGTTGTTAAAATAGATATTCCTACTGAAATCATTGGGCTACAAATCTGAATCTCTGTCTTTTTCAGGCACTTGGAGGCCTTGTGATTGCTGCGGTTATAAAATATGCAGACAACATTTTAAAGGGGTTTGCAACATCCCTCTCTATTATACTGTCAACACTGATTTCATATTTTTGGCTGCAAGATTTTGTCCCTACAAGGTAACTGTTATTTTCCACGTGTATTAGGGGGAGCAGGAGAGAAATACCCCGATAATTACCATACATGAGCAATAATAAAGCACAAGAGCAAAACCAAGGCACACTTCATAAAAGGCTTAGATCAAGCCTTCTCATAAAAGTCTAGTTTTATAATATGCCAAGTTCATGTTTAATTTTGCCATAGAGAAGGCAATGTTTAGTTTTCTCTCACATCCAGGTCCCCATAGGTCAAGAATAATCGAGCCTTTCTGCTCAGGTTTTATTGAACCAGTCTCTTACTAACTCTGTTTTAGATCACCTTTCCTTCTCTTCTGTTATTTTCTAACCATTTGTTCTTTAATGTACCCAAATATCTTTTCCACCATGCCCACTCTCCAGAGTTCAACATGTATTTTTCTCTGTTTTAATTGGTCTTGTTCTAACCTTATTTTCATGCCTTCTCCCATTTTTTTTGTTCTCTGGTCTTTCATATTATGAGGTCACTTCTTTCTGGGTCAGATACCTGGCTGTGATGAGCATGGCTCTACTCTTGAACTCGGCTCCCCCCTGCTGGCCCTTCTGGATAGGTCTGTGGAAAAGAGATTGCCCACATCTAATTTCTTCTTTATCCTCTAAATATTCATGTCTTCCGCAACTCATCATAAAATGCCTTACAGCTGAACAGTGATAGGGATGATAATCCTGCTGTATGGTTTTCCATCCAATCTCAAAGCAGTTTCTGAAAGAGGTGATTGCAGTCAGACAAATAACACAGTTTGGTTGCCCAAGGATGGCCAGTAGTTCAAAGACTTTATTTTTTTCTAAAGCCAATACCATATTTATTAATTAAAAGATTTAACCAAGAAAGACAGCAAATAGTGTATGGGGCCTGGAAACGTATCCTATAATTCGACAGTTTGTGGATCTGGTTTTAGCAGCTCTGTGCTCTACTGTTTTATACACTGAAAGATTCTGAAATGATGACTTTTATGATGGCAGTGCATGCAAGAGTATAAAAATAATGTCCACCTTCCTATATACTAACAGGATCTGCTGTTGCTTATAATGGATCTACATACACTCCGCATACTTAAAAATATAAAAAAGATTTTGAGTAACAGTTTTTTTTCTGATATGGAGAAACAATCCTGTCTAAAAATAGTGTTTCCAAAGTTTATACGAGTTTATTTTAACATACAAAAAGGGCATTAGAACAACAGAGGCTGAAAAAAGAAACGCTTTGGATTTAAGACTTTAAATCATAACTAACCTGCATTTATCCTGTTAAACAAAAACAAATATGGAATGTGATAAGATTTTTTAACTATAAATTAATATATTTATTCAACTGTAAATTAATAAGTAACCTGTTAGCCCCTGCAAGCAAGCATGGTCAAAATGAAAACATGGGTAAATAATTGAATGAGATAAAGCCAACTAGCAGCATGCAAAATTTGACTCTGTTTCATTTAACAAACTTGAGATGTCTCATGTAACAAACTGAGTAACAACGTGAGTTGTTTAATAAGAATTAATCTTATTATGTTTCTTATACACTTTGAGTTTATCTATTTCATTTCAACAAATATTTCTGATTGTGATAATATGTGTAAATATCTAGCTGTTCAATATGAAATGAAATATGTGAATATGTGGCAGAGAAATATGAAATAGGTTATCTGTGTTCTCTGAAGACTTAGCGAGTAATGCTCTCTGTTCTTTAGTGTTTGGTTCAGAAAATTAAATTGTTAACATTAAGAATGTCTTTTCAACAGGTTTCTTTTTGTAAAATATAATTTATTGTCTAATGGCCTTGATATTTTATTTCAGACCTGCAGTTACCTAAATACTGTCAAAAGCCCTTATGTTTCAGTACAGAAGATCCCTTTATTATCTTCTTGTTGTATAAAACCTTAATTATCTGCCAAAATATAAGATTTAGTGATTTGTGGGCTGGTTCTTGAGAAGCAGTGGTTTGTTTTAAGACAAACTTCAGACTTCTTTGGCTTGCATTTTGCATAGTGCTTTGGTCAAAAGAAAGAAATACAAGATTACTTTGATTATCCCTTTGGTATTGCTTCATGAAACTGTATTTGTGTTTGATTTTTTTTCATAACATGTCACAATTTTGCATGTTTTTCCCATATCATTCTCCAGAAAAAATAAGGCAAATTACTTAATTCATTTTAAGTTAGACAGATGCTAGTTCTCCTGATTATATTCTCATGCAGTACTGAGAAAGGAAAAAATGCCATTTCTTTTGAACTGTATTACATAACAGCACTTCATCAACTGAAAACAGATAACTGATTTTTCTTCCTATTTTATCCAGCGTCTTTTTCTTCGGAGCCATTCTTGTAATAGCAGCTACTTTCCTGTATGGTTATGATCCAAAGCCTGCAGGAAATCCCATTAAGGCATAGCAGACTTCCTTAACAAGAAGATCATATRTTGGGTGCCTCGCTGACAACGGCGTGAGAGATGGCTTTGTGCACTGGAGGGAGAGGATTGCTGCCCTGAATCTAATGAAGAAGTTATCAGTAGTTCTGAACAACCAGAGGAGTTAAGATGGATGATGATACTGTATGTAACTGATGAAAAAAATGGCAGGGGAAAGCCCAGTGCAAGTCACTAATAAAAACTTGAAGGGAACAAAAAGTTCCAAGAAACTGCAATTCGGAATGTTTACAGCTTTGACTGGAGTTGCATCAAAAGAATTTACTGTTTTGACTGCTGCAGAAATGTTCTATGCACTCTTTGAAAGAGCACATGACAACATTGTCAGATTGTATGTTTTTGCAATTTGACTATATTTAATCGTAGTCAATATGTTTTTAATTGTCCATTTACATGAAATCAATTGAATACACATCAGTTCTAAAGTGATCGTTCTAATTAGATATTCCTTATTAAAACTGAAAATTGAAGTATGATTGAAAGACCTTTTCACAATATCAAATATCAAATATTTTTATATTTTTAGAAGACTGATTGACAACAGATACCTGTTCTCTTGCATATATAAAGCTATTATGAGAATGGTAACATTCTCAGCCAAGTACACAGGGGAAGGAATTCAGAGTAAAAGCTAGAAGTCTGTGATAAAACTCCAGCTGTCCTCCGAATGGCTATTAGAATTCCCAAGGAGCCAGGACCCTGTGAACACAGGCCAAAGGTTCCTGCAGTAGCCACACACTGTGGTTAGGATTGGGATGGAGTGCTTGCCCAGATGCTGTGTGTGTTTTTTTTGTTTTGTTTTGTTTTTGTTTTTCCCCCACCCCCCCAATTGATTATAAATCAACTTGTTGCTAGAACCTTTAAGGTAGGTGTTGTGTTTTAAATATTCTCAAGAATTAACATAATAAATATTTTAAATGCATTACTGTTGCCTGTAATGGCTCCATATGGAGTCGTTACATATATCATCTGTATCCTGTACTGTACTTTATTACAGAGGGAGGTTGTTTTGGGGTTTTTTTGGCCTGTCTTTAGTGTGTTGTTTACTCATGAACTCTCCAAGGCTGTTTCAGTGCACTTGTATGTAATGGCTTAATTAGAGTCCTTGAGCCTACAGACCAAATGGTTTCTCTAGAGCTATTCAGTCTAGTGGTGGAATTACTTTAATGGAAAGGTAATTTATTGTGCAATAGGTAAATATAAAAGCATACTGTCCTTTTGTTTTGAACCAACCAACCAAAAACAACAACAAAAAAAATCCAGAATGAGTCAGGCTGTTAGGAACATGTTGCTTGTTTAAATATTTATATATAGCTGGTTTAGCCAGAAGCACACACAAAAACTGGCAGAATTAATGAACACAAAAAGCTGTCTTAATCATTTGTTTCCAGGAGGCCTTCTCACAACAGGTATTAAAGTGACTGCTCATCCATGTGTTACCCTTGTGAAGGTATGATTTTTTTATAAAAAGATATCAGCAATGACAGGTGTAGAACGACAGGTGACAAAAATGTTTAGTTCCTTTTTATTCTATTCATGCTTTCTCACTTTTTTTTTTATATGCTATTGAAAACATTGTGATGAGAGGTGTTTTTATTGAATTATAACAGTCAGCTTTCCACAGTTGACTAGAAGTTTTCCAGAGCATCTCAGTTATGGTTTGACAAGAGAAAGGATTTCATAAAAGTGCTGTGAGGTGTTTTTTTTTTTTTTTTTTTAATGAAGTATTGTAAGTGCAAAAGGTCTTACATCAGCCAGGTAAGAACACTTTCTTCTGCTGGTGCTAGCAAGATTGTGAGATCTGTGCTAAGGGTTTCTTAAGCTTCCTGAATTGTAGATCTGCCCTGGCATGCCATAGCTGCAGGAGCAGTACTAATAGGTGGTCAAATTTCTTCCAAATTACATTAGCCATTTACTTTAGTACTAAAGCTTCCACCTGTAACATTCAATGTAGCAAAATCTATCACAAATTAAATGTAGTCACTTTATTGAAATACAATGTGTGCTAAAATGTATGCATACAACAATAGCTTACAGTGCTACTACACAAAAAGCTCACTGTAGGAAGGGAAGAATGTATAAATCTCTGAAATAATTTGGGAAATGGTTGGTAGTGATTATTATTTGAGTTGGGATGAACAGTAATACTTATTCCGTGAGTCACCGTTGTAGAAATATTCAGATGATATTAATTGGTAACTTATATAAGAAATTATTTTTTAAAGGAGAGAGAAAGGAGAGGCAGGCACTTTAAAAGCAGTTGCAGAGTAAGGAGGCAAATAGGCTAAAATTCATCACACTGCTGGGTACTGTTAGATAAAAATTGAGTTATATATACACTAGTGTACTTAAGCATCAATTTAAAGGAAAAAGATATATTTGTCTTTGAACAACGTAAGTCATCTTTGGAAAATGACAGTATACTTCCTTCATTAAGGAACAGTAAATCCTGTCCTTAGAGCAGTGACTCCTCTCCTTTTTCAATGTACAATTTCCTTAAATTTTCTGGTAGAGGTGCAGATGCCATTAAACACTTTGTATATGTTGGTACCATGAAGGATGTATGAATCTGCATTATTTTAGCTGCATCTCCTTTGCCCTTTGCAAATACACTTAGGCCCTTCACGTTAAAAGCAATGCACTAGAAAGAGGGAAGCCCATATGTGTTTTCTGGGAAGAGAAAGCATTTGAGGAGAATTTTCCAATCTCTTAAACCTCAGGCCTTGGGAATCTGAAAGGCTGCATACGTGGTTTTGGGTTTTTTCTTTTTTTTCTTTTTCTTTTTTTTTTTTTTAAGATGCCTTCAGATCTGGGATAGGGAGGCAGTATTAATTCTACTACTCATTAACTAACCAAAGATGTATAGCTAGTACAAAACACTTGGAGACAGACAAAAGTACAAGTCATAACTTTCAAGAACAAACCTGACTCTCTGAACTACTTTTCTCAAAGAAAAAAAGAGATAATGGATTTGTTAGTTTAGTTGTATATTTAGGAGGCTAACCTATGCTTATCATAACTTTATTTAAATATTTATAAAGTTATAGCAAGGTATTTATTTGCAATAACTTGATTTGTTTTTAAGACTAGCATAATGGGAGTACTGATATTTATTGAATACTTGTGTATTTGGTAGTTTTACCTAAGAATATCTGGGATACATGGTAAATGTTCAAATAACAGTAAGCTGTTAGACCTATGTTGAAAGCAAAATAAATCAATTTGGTGATGAAAAAATCTTGAGGGTAATAAAGTAAGGCAAATTCTTCCTTAAAAACTGTATTTTTGTGTTATCCACAAGTACCCATTAATTTTTTTTCCCCCTCAAGAATTTGCATTGATAGTACTGTTAATTTAACTTAATTATTTTAGGCAAATTGACACAGCTTCTCCTTTTGTTTGCTTTAATAGTGATGAGTAGATTAAAGTTCTGTTTCCTGCTTAGGCAAAGCAGTATCTGTTTTTTACTGTAATTTTTATTTCATTTTTCTTCAAGAAATCAATAATATTTTGGTAGCATATGCTTGATTTTTGGTTACTCCAACAGTCCTCTGTTTTGGTTTTTTTTGTTTTGTCTTGTTTGTTTAGAAATATGTAGTAGCTTTGTGTTTCTAACTTATTTTTATGACTGTAATTGAAAAGAATGTAATGGATTTTGTTAAATGACTTCAGAATGGATACATTTCTTGTGTTTTTTTGCTATCTGTAACTCCCATCTTGTAATATATTTCCTTATCAGCTATTCATGTTCTGTTGTACTTAAGCAATCACTTTCAGATTTGAACTTGTTATTAATTTCTGTCCTGTTGACAGTTTTTCTTGCTAGATATCATGATTGGGGAGGACTTTTCTTCTTTTAAATGTGTATTTTTGTAAAAATGAGATTTAAGAAAAAATGAAGGTAGTGTTTATCTATAGCATGGTGTTGTACCATGTATGTGGCAGTGTATTATTATGTTACATTACCTTTTTACATTATCATTAGTGTTCAGTTTTGTAAGTCCAAAAATTTTTCCTTGACTTTTTTTTCTATTGTCCCATTCATTTTTAATGTTTATTTCTTTTTCTACAGGAAGTTATACCAGAACTAAAGAGTTTCACTCTGTCCAGGTGAGCTCATTAGATCTAGATATCTAAGTAAAGATTTGTGTGGAAAAAACACAGGGGGAAGTGCCAAAAATACCTAGTATTAAATAGGTGATATCTTCTGCCCCAGTTAATGTGAATCCAAATTTGCTATTCAGTTGAATTTATAACTTCTAGTTATTTCTTACTCAGGTGAATTAATAACTCTTAGAAGTAGAAAATCTGTCCTGAGGTGCAATAACGGTGCTCATTCTTGAACAATTGCTGCACGTTTGCATCCAACAGTAAAATTTGCCCTTGACGCCTTTAATATGTCTTTCAGCCTTCCGTCCATGTTCTGACAGTCATTAGCCATAATGATTTCTTTAGCACTTTATAGCTGAGTAACAGTTGCTTATATGCTAAGCCTGTATCTACCTATGTGCTGCCATGAATAATGTTTTTAAGATTTTCTCTATTGTCAGTATATTTTAAATGACACTTCACATATATAAGCCCAAAAATAAATTACATATTCATACATGTTGAAAAAATGAGGTATTCATGGGAATTTTATATGTTGATGTTTCTGTATGACTACACTATTTACATAGTATATAAATTCTAATATATAGTGTTTTCCAGCAATTTGAAAATATTTTTTTTTTTTCAATGTAATACCAGGAAACAAGAGAATGAAGTTTACTTGAACTAATTTGGTGCTCTTTTATCCATAATATGAGGTAAAATACTCTCTCTCTTATGTGCCGATAAGGTCACTTAAGCTTCCCAGCTTTACTGAGAGTATGATTTGAGATAGTTATAGATTCAGAGGGTTGCCTTTATGCATATATAAGGAGGGAGGAATAACCTGGAAAAAAAAGTTTTATTTAACTTTTATTATTCCATATTTTTGTGTGTTTTGTTTTACTATAGCTCTGTATAAATTCTAAAAACACGGCAATTAGTATTTTTGTTTAATGGTATGTTTTAACTTAAAACTTACTGAATTTTTGCCAGAAACATATTTTTGACTGAGACAGGATTCTTTTTGACCACTGTATCATGACCTCTTGTGAGTTATATTCCAGTATTCCTATGGCTGTGTCTGCAATCTCTTCTGGCCTGAAAATCCCAATCCCCTTGTTCAGGGCTAGGATTTTCCTGATGGTCGTGGTAGGGAACATCTGATCTAATTTCCCAGGGTACGTGGGAGGCCAGAGAGTTGCCAAATTCGTTGCTTCAACCTTGATTTTGAAGTGTGAAGGTTGTTGTCTGCTTTGTGATGGGGAGTAGAAATTACTTTGTGTTTTTGCATACACAGGCTGTGTAGTGCAAGAGGAGAAAGGGGCTTCTGAACAAAAATGTGTGTTATAAGCTATACAAAATCTGTGCTATCTGGTGCCACGCTGCCACCAGTGAGGGCGTTCCTGGGAGGATGCTGTTAGTGGCACCAGCATGTGCCCTGGTGTACGGCTGCGAATGTACTGAGCAAATTTGCCAAGGGAACTTCTCCACACTGAGGTCTTGGTCTGCTCACTATCCTCTTTGGCAGTAATCAGTATTGTATGGGGCCGTGTGTTGCACTGCATATGGCAAGTAGATGTTTAGTTACCAGCTCACTGATACAGTAAGGCTTATTTGTTGTGCCTTGGATTTACTGTAAGCAGCATCCTTATGGTGGTAAAAATGTATCAAATTATTAGCTCTATTAACAGAATTATATTGTGACTTACAAGACTTAAATCAGCAAGTAGAACTTCTGCATTTATTATAGATCTATTCTAAAATATTATGATATATAATAATAATCTTCATGTCAGTAGCTTGAAGTCTTTGAGGTAAATAACATAAAAGCTCCTAAATTCTTTAAGTTTAGACGCTTAGCCTAGAGCAAGAAAGTAAGTTGAGCTGTTTTGATGACATCTTTGATAATTCTTTGAAAATTTTCTGTGATACTGATTTTCATTGACTGGACATGCTACTATATTTTTTTCTATCAAAATATAAAGTTGTATTGTTTTACATTTTTATTTGGAAAATAAGAAGTTAGATGTTTTTAATTGGACACAGATTACCCAAGGAGGAATTGTGACTTCAGGGGAATAAATAAGGATATTATTTCACTCTTTTTTTACTCAAAGTAAAATATATCAAAGTATTGATTTATATCTTTGAGATATATATCTCAAAGTATTGATTTATATCTGCGATTAATGCATCCTAGGCTTGCTTCTTCCTTAGCTCTTTATGTGACTTTTTCGAATCACTTTGCAAAATCTCTAGGCATTAGTTTTGCAGTATGGAAAATTCTTTGTAGTTTTTTTCACAGCCTTTGAGTGTAAACAACCAAAGGGTGACATGCAATTGTGAAGCACTAATTCTTAGTAGAGGAATTTTGACACAGGTTACCAGGAGCAATTGGTGATTCAGTTGGTAACTTTTTTTTCTTTTTTTCAGATATTATTGATAGCAGAGGAAAGTTAGTATATAATATGTCCTCTATTATATAATAGAATTGATTCAAATTACAATTTAAAAGTTGAAATTTCTTTAGCTGAGGGTGAATAAGGTGTTCTTCTGACCATTCCAGAGAGAGGGATAATAAAATCAGATCATTTTGTCGGTTATGCTCCAATATTTTCCAAAACTCTCTATTTCCATCACGTGTTTTTATAAAATTCACTCTGACCATATGCAGAGTGACTTAAACTTATTTTTTTACACTGTTGTGTGGCAGGAATTAAATTACAGTCCAAATAACAATTGAAGCCATTGTCTGTGCTTTAGAAGTAAGGTTTTCCTTTGATATATAACTAATGACTCTGTTTTCATTCTGCTTCCAAAAAGATTTTATCTTTTCCAGCAGACAGATAGTACTTGTTAACTTTGTATAGAAGGTTGAACAATACACTTGTTTAGGTGTCACAGACAAAACTGCTTTGTTTCTTTTCAGGAGAATAAAGTGATTGCCAAGAATTTGTCTCTAGCTAAATAAAGGCAGAATGAATTATTTCTGGATTTATTTAGGTAAGTGAATTTTGAGATTTCCACCCAGACAGAATGGTTGAAGGTCGTTAAAATTCACATCAGCAAAAGCAAGACACATTTCTGTATTTCTCTAGAGTTTTATCTGAATTTAGGATTTTTTACTTGAATAATTTGCTCAGCCCACATGAGCAAACTTGTTATTTGTCTTAAGATGCATTTATTTGGGGATAATGACCAAAGATTGTTTTGAAATATAGATGAAACAAAAAACTTTAATAATTCTAATTTCACAATCCCCTTGTTGAGGTCTAAATATATTTAACATTTTCAACCCAAGTTCTTTATATATCATATATATCTGGGTGCAGTTTCCTACCAAAATAAAATCACTCTGTCTTCAAGGAATGGATTTGAAACCATACTAGTATTTTAAATCATCTTTTCAAATAATAGGGTAAGAAATTCTGGAGCATGGGATTTTTTTTCCCCCCAGTCATTGCATATTTGGTGCAATTAAGACTTATACTAAATGTCTGATGATAGCAATGGCTGCTTCCTAAGGACTGTGCTGTCCTTGAGGCCTGCCCTTGCCTGCTGGCCTGTGACACCTTTTTTGCTCTGGATAGCCCAGTAAATCCAGCTTGCATCATCAGCTCATGTCTGCTTGCCCTTAAGATCTTAATGTGAGACTCTATTGACCTGAAGAGGGTTATGCATAGTGAAATTCCATGTTCCTTAAAGCTGCATCATAATGGAGAAACTGGGATGCTGTCTCTAAAAGCTCGTAGTTTTAGTGTAAGCTCGGGTCAGAGATTTGCCTCCTCAAATCTTACGAGCTGCCTATGGGGACACCTGCAAGTCTGTGTGAGGTAATGTAGCCTTTGGCTGGTGCTCTGCAGAGGAGCAGTAACGTTAGGTAGGTCGGTTGCTGGTGGGTGACGGATCATATGTGTCTGTGAGGCAAAAAGATACCCAAATCGAGTTCCTGGTATCACTTGCTAATGTGGTACCTTCCRCGCCGTAACCAAGCCTGGGTCAGCCGTGTGCATCCGGACCGAGGCTCAGCGGGGCGGCAGTGCTCACCACTGCTCTGCGGGCGCCGGGCAGCTCRGGCTGGGGAGGAGTGCAATAGGAGGTGCAGGTCTTGGGGAAGCAGATGGAGCCTTATAAAAGCACGTGAAAAGACCACATGTGGGTATGTGCTTGGAGAGCCGGGTACGAGACTGGCCGCGTAGGGGGTTACTGTCGCTCTGCTCAGCACGGCCACGTGGCAGTGCTGACACAGGTGAGATACGAGCCACAGCAACAAGCATTTCTAGAAGACCCTCTCTGCTCTGGCTGTGTCTTGTGAATCCCRTCCTTGTTGTCCTCTAACCCACAGTGGAGGGTGGTAAATCAGGCTCTGGGAAGCAGCTTGTCTGTGTGAGATTATCAAAGTTAAGTGACCTCGAAACTTGGCCGTGAAAAGGCAGAGGGCTCCAGACTGCACTTTTGAGATGAATCTGGCTTGTGGTTGTGTGCTTGGCCTCTAGTCGTGTGTTTGGGCACCCCGTGGGGTTGTCCTGTGCCGGTTGTCCTTCAGTGTCCCCTCACCTGGGGACCAGGCTGTTGTGAGGAGGCGGGAGAAGATGGCGCCTAGCCTGGCAAGGATGGGGCAGCTGGCCTAGGAAAGGCGAGAGGGGGAAGTATGTCCAGTGATGTTTGCTAGGGTGCCCTTGGTGAGGCAGACAATATATATGTGTGTGTGTGTGTGTATACAATATAATATGAATATTATCTTGTGACTACTAACACGCCTCGCGTCTCGGGAAGGCCGCTGGGCGCCTCCCCGTCATGGCCGCCCGGGGGCGCTGCCGCTCGGCAGGTGGGAGCGAGGGGGGAGGGGGGGAGCTCGCGGCGCACGTGACCGGCGCTCGGCCAATGGTGCGATCGCGTGATGTGCGGCGGCAGGGCTGCCTCGCCAAGATGGCGCCGGGTGCGTGAGCGGTGGCGGCGGAGGCGGGGAAGGCCCGGCTGCTGCGGAGGGTCCGCGCCCCGTCGCTGCCCGGGGCCGTAGGATGGTAAAATGACGCAGGGGGGGAAGAAGAAGAAACGCGCCGTGAACCGCAGCATCATGCTGGCCAAGAAGATCATCATTAAGGATGGCGGGACGGTGAGCTGGGGCGGCGGCGCGAGGCGCGGCCGTTTCTGTTTCCTCTGCGGGGCGGGGAGAGGCGCGGGGCGGCGGCGGAGGCCGCCGCGGGGCCGGGGTGTCTCCGCGGGCCGCTCTGCGGGCCGGCGGGCGGGAGCGGAGCGGGTTCGGCGGCCGGGCCGGGCCGGGCCGGGCCGGGCCCCGCAGCGCTGGGCCGGCGCGCCGCCTCCCGAAGGGGCCGTTGTTGCGGGGCTGGCGGGGCCCGAGAGGGACCGTGGCGCGCGGCGCAACGCGGCGGCCGCTCGGCCCCTCCGCGGGGGACGGGCCCCTCGCGCGTCCCCTCCATGAGGCCGTAACCACCTGCTCACCTGGCGCGGGCGCGAGAAGCSAAGCCGGCTCCCCTGAGGGAACCGCTGCAGCTTGCACATGCAGCGCTCGCTCGCGTTTAGGGTGGGAACGAGCAGGTTGCTGCCAGCCTTGTAGCGTCGTGCTCTAGAGTTTCCCCCTGTAGCTGTCGTTGGTTACGACTGAATAGGCTGCCAGAGCCTGGAGCTTTAACTTATGTTTCCCGAGCCGGGAGAGGGAACATCGGGCGGCGCTTGGGTTTCTGCCTTCGTTGTCCTCCAGTTTCAAAAGCAGAGCACAAAGTTAGAGGAAAACTATTCCGAACTTGGGTAGCTTTACGGAGTTGGGWAAATGAGCTGTAAACATAAGATGAAGCTGTGAAGTTGCTGGTCTGTTGATAGATAATGAAAATATTGTCTGGAATACTTTCTACTTTCAAATAAATGAGTTTGGGCTTGTTTAAAAATAACTTTTTGAAGAATCTGGTACCAGAGTGTGTAAGGGTACATTTTGGGTTAAAGGTTTGAGTGTTGTTTGTTTGTTTTCTTTCTCTGGCTTTGAAATAATCAGGATTTTGAAAGACTTGAGATTGGCATCAGCAGYAGAAACCTTGTAATAAAAGTAGGACTGGAGCATCCCCCAGCTCAGACACAGTCCTGTGGGGAGGCTGAGGTCAGAAGGCACCTCCAAAGGGAAGGCTGCTCCTCCCGGCTCCCCCCTTGCCCCAGGCTGGCTGCCCAGGGCTGCGTCCTGGCAGGTTTTGCCTCTCCAAGGATGGAGCCTGCACAGCCTCTCTGGGCAGCCTGCTCCTGTGTCTGACTGTCCTCATGGCTTAGCTGTGTAAATGACTGCGTTTCACCCAATAAATAATTGCATAGCATCCTCCTCCCTTCCCAGGATGTTTAAGTGGAATTTCCAGTATTTCAGTTTCTGCACCATCCTGTCGCTGATGCTTCTGCAGAGAGCTTGACTCTGTCGTCTTTATCCCAGCTCTCGGATATTTATGCACCTTGATAAGGTCCTGCTAGAGCCTTTCCGAGAAGAGGCCGAGAAGTTCGGCCTGTGTTTGCTCAGTGTGAATGAGGCAGCGCCAGCATCTCGGCTTCGCGCAGCGCTGGGAGAGTTGAGCAGGGCTGTTGAGATTAAAGGATGTGTGTGAGGCTTCTGATGAGTTGTTCCTAGTGCCTTAGTATGAAAATACCTTCTGCAGCGTTTCCTCAATTTGCAAGCGAGGAGCTGTGGCATGCTGTCTGACAGGCTCGTATTTACAGAGGAAAGAAGTGAGCAGGCTCTCCTGCTCCTGCTTTTGCTTTCTGTTCCTCCCTTCTCTTCAAAAGCTGCTTTTGATTATGCTGGATTACCAAAGAACAGGAATTTTCTTATTTCAGGAAATATCTTCTGTGCAGGTCTCGCAACATTGCAACAATGAATTACATTGCGGCTACTCATGGTGGAGAAAGCTATTTGGGGAAACTATCAGTGTGCTTCCTGTGATTCATTTCTGACTTTCCTTATTTCAGTTTTTTTATTAAGAACTATGAAAGTTTTGCACTTCACTGCACTGCCTTTTGCTAACAGAAGTTCAGTAGTGTTGTCTGATATCCTAAAGTCTAATTGAATGGTCTAAGTGAATGAATGGTCTAAGTGAATGTGAAAGCTATAGAGTTTAGAAATGATGAAACATTGATTTCCATGCAACGTTGTGTCTTTTTTTCTTAAGAAAAAAATCAAATTATCGAAGAAGCTGTTTCCATTTTCATCAGCATCCATGTTTCCCAGAGCAGGGGTGTAAGTGGTGATTTTTTTTTTTTTTTTTTTTKYTTGAAATGGGAATATGCGTTATACATTGCAGATCAGCAGGGCACTTGAGGATACTTGCAGCAAGGGCTTGGGAAGGGGTTTTCCCTTTGTGCTGGTTGCCTGGAGTGCCTCAAGGACTCAGATGTTCAGAGTCCTGTTTCGTGTCTTAACTGTCTTTCTTATGAGTGTGACAGCTTGTCGTGTATGTTGTAGTGATTTTTTTTTTTTTTTTTTAATGTCTTGTTTTAGCCTCAAGGAATAGGTTCGCCTAGTGTCTACCATGCTGTGATAGTGATATTTTTGGAGTTTTTTGCTTGGGGACTCCTAACAGCACCCACTCTGGTGGTAAGTGATAGCTTTGGCTTTCCCRTGCATCTTTCTTGCTATGTGGGAGATTATGGCAAAGACACTGCACACCTTATTGCTGAATTACATGAAATTTATGTCATAAATCTGCTCAGGTCTGCAAGTGAAAAGTTTTGTACTGTTATATGGAATCAGATATTTAAACTTACTTGCATTAAAGCTATGTAATGATGTGACATAACTATAAATTAGCTGCTTAAAGCACTGTGCCTGTGTCAGGGCTGTCTCCTGTTCTGCATTAAGACATTTTACTGTATTTTCCGGAAATGTCCATGCTGACCTAGGTAGAGCACCAACTTTATCATACTAATTGTGGGGATGTTTTGAAAAGGACATTTTTCCATCTTACCTATAAAGGAATACATACAGACTGTACTAGCTGTTGAAAGATAAAAGCTTCAAGCTTTTATTTTAAAAATAATGTTTTCTTACTAATTGACTTTCTGCTGTAACGTGATGGTCAAGGAATGTGCACTGTGTTGGATGCATCCCATGTGAGCAGATGYAGCGCTAGATACACACATGCAGCTCACATACCACATGACAAGGCTCGAGTCTGTAAGTACAGGAAACATCTATGAAGAGCCTTACAAAAGAGCACTTTTATCAGATTTTTCTTTTCTTTAGTGTTCTTTCTTTGCAAAACAGGAGTGGGGAGTAGCCCATGTATCTGTCKTCTTCCTCTCCACTCCCACAGCACAGTGACCCTGAAAATGTGGCCACTAAGTAATATGGGATTAGACTCACATTTTTCTGTGCATCAGTCTTGTTGAACATTAGTGCTTACAGTTCCAAATCATTCTTCTCTTTTCCCTCATTTATCTCCATAAGTGTACATGTGTGTACATGTGTGTATCCATGGAAATATAAAACTACTTTCTGTGCTGTTATAAGCCACTGTAGGTGGTGGCTGCATCCTGAACAGCAGAACAGCACTTAATGCTGTGCATATGACAGTGTGATATGTAATTTTTTTTCCTCTCTCTCTAGGTTTTGCATGAAACCTTCCCAAAACATACATTTCTAATGAATGGTCTAATTCAAGGAGTAAAGGTAGGGTGACAAAAGTTAAAGTAATTGCATATACAGCTTAAAATGAATGGTGGGGAAGATGGAAATGCTGCTGGTTAAGTGGAGCATGGGAGAGGCTTTCAGAGCCACTTTGAAGTTGTGAATAGAAGGTGGAAATAAACTGCTGCTGAAAAAAAAAACCCTAGAAATGCAACATTTTATTATTACGAAGTTACTGTTTGGGCTGTGCCTTGTGTTCCAGTTCACCAAAGAATAGAAAGTCATCTGACTAAGGCCGGGTGATACAAATTGTATTAAAATGTGGGGATTGGGTTTCATGAGGAGCTTGGTGCTCAAGTATTTGTATACWCTCAAGCAGTGTATTGTCATGTTCTGTTCATGTGACTTAAAGATAGGAAATGGTAAAACATGGGGCCTGGGACTGATGTTGACAACTGAATCAGGTTTGCATTGAGTTTGGGGTGCTCTGGTGCAATGAAAATCAAATGTTAGGTAAGCAGATGTGGGACAAGCTTATAAATGCTTGACTGTGTTGCCTTTGATGTGCTGCAGTGTGGAATTGCCAACCCTGGTAACTATGAACCACAGCCTGCTCACAGCTTGTGGCACATGGGCTGTCATGCTGCTTACCATGCAGTTTAACGGGGAGTGTTTGTCTTCACAGGGCTTATTATCCTTCCTGAGTGCCCCACTCATAGGGGCCCTGTCCGATGTGTGGGGACGAAAGTCCTTCTTGCTGCTAACAGTATTTTTCACCTGTGCACCAATACCACTAATGAAGATCAGCCCATGGTTAGTAACTTCTTTCAAACCAGACTTTACTGCTTCTTAATGTTTTTCATCTGTGTTTTATATACAATGTATTCTGCACATTCTTTTTTGCTATACAAGAAGATACATAGGGAAGTAGGTATGTAGTAGGTATGTAGTGTATCTTGTTTTTGTGTAAGACTGGTGTGTTTGTTACATTGTTGATACAGCATTCTTTGTCCTCAAGTGTAAGTTGGGGCTTTCGAATTCCTCTGTGGAAATCTAGTGAGCAGAGTCAAACTACAGTAGCTCCTAAGCCCAAACGCCTCGAAAGGGAACTTAGGAGCTGCTGACTTGGAGCCCTGGGTTTTGGACTCCCCCCACTTCACTACTTCAGTGCACTTGCAAAAATGAAAAGTGCATTGGAAAACAGTTCAGCTAATTGAAACACATCTTTATTACATATATTTATTAACGCATCTATATTCTTACATAATGCATAAAAGCAACCATGATAACCTAACATGTTGCTCAAATTTTATGTTGTTTTCTCAAGGTTTACAGTCTGTCTGCTTTGGCACTATGTGCAGGTTTGGCAGGTTGTCATCAGCACCCGCACTCCTGGGATGTTCCAGAGGCAAAAATTCGTGTGCAAGAGCAGCCTGCGCTGCCGCTTTGGGTGCAGCTGGAATGGGAGCCGGTGCGGGGAGCGCCAGCACGGGGCAGAGCTGCTTCCCCTCTGCTCGCGTGGGCTCCAGTTCCACATCTCTCCTTCTGGGAAGCAGCCTCTGTCTGAGTGTGGCTGAGATTCCGGTGAAATCAGTGCTAGTGTCTGGGCACAAAGATGAGGCTGATGCTGAGCGATCCCAAAGCTCAGAACCTTTCAGAAAGASGGTTTCTGCTTTGCCTTGTGTCGTGGGTGTACAGCCAAAGGTGTTGCTATGTTGTTGACTTTTTTACAAGCACTTAATCACAGCAGCTTTTTTTGCAGACCGGGGCAGGCTGTTTATCTTTGTGCTTAGCGTGGTGAGGAGAAATGACACAGCTATTCAAGAGACATTTATAATMATGTCTTTGTGAAAGTTTATTTCATTATTTGTTAGGAAAAGTTAGACAAGATAACTTATTGTTGAGCTGCATTCAGATTGTAAATAGAGATTTTATATGTCTTTTTAGCTGTCCTGACTTTTGTTATTACCTTTTCCCAGGTGGTACTTCGCTGTTATTTCTGTCTCTGGAGTTTTTGCAGTGACTTTTTCAGTGGTTTTTGCATATGTAGCAGACATAACCCAAGAACATGAAAGGAGTATGGCCTATGGGCTGGTACGTATCTAGGTTTTGCTTCTGTTCCTGTGGTGTTAAATACCAACTAAATAGTGATGTTAGTAAAGCTTCTCAAAGTTGATTTATTTGGCAAATAAATTTTAATTTGGAGTAAAATTCATCTGCTTAATCTTTCTTGTCATCCAGGCCTGTAACTTTCCTTCCTGGTAATACCTTTTCAGTTTAGCAGTAGGCATTGCACGTTTCACCAGAATGCAGGTGAAATAGAGATTATTGCTTCCCAAAAATGCAAGCAGCCAGAAGGATGGTTAAAATTAATTATGTCAGTACATGGGAGTGCTGTGAGCCTCATGTTACTGCCTGCTTTGACCAAAGGCCTGCTGTCTTCCAAACTTTGGCCACCTAGAATTCATAGCTGCAGAAAAGTTACCTGTACTCACTGYCAAGTGGAATGATGAGGCTTTTGAAACTCAAAAAAGAACTAGGAAATGGTATTTTCCAGTGACATGGCTGTAAATCTCACCAGCTGTTGTTCGTTTTAGGTTTCAGCAACTTTTGCAGCAAGTTTAGTTACCAGCCCTGCAATCGGTGCCTACCTTGGTCGAGTCTATGGAGACAGCTTGGTGGTGGTGCTGGCCACGGCAATCGCCTTGCTCGACATCTGCTTTATTCTTGTTGCGGTCCCAGAATCGCTGCCGGAGAAGATGAGGCCGGCATCCTGGGGAGCACCCATTTCTTGGGAACAGGCTGACCCTTTTGCAGTAAGTCACTTCAATATGGAGTGTTTGGCACTTGTAGATACCGAATTTGAGACAAAAAGTTTGTGTTTACCAAGTTTGTTCGTTCTTTTCTCTCTCTCCTCCTTTCTCTTGCT